TTCTTTCCATGTTACATGTCTGTGAATATACATGTCTAAGTTTTTTTGGACCGTTAGACAATTATATTACAGAATCAAAATATATATTTTGACGGCTCATCTTTATTTTTTCCTTCTTCCTTTAAGTTTATAATTGAGTCATAGCACGGTTCCGGTCTACCTTCGCACTTGTTGTTGATGCCTTTAAAATTGTTTCCTTTGTTATATGGTTTCTTTTTGATGTTATTTTTCCACCGACATTAAGAGGTATTATAAATTATTAAACCGATACTAATTATCCATACACTGTTTTCTGTGGTAAAGTGCGTTTTTGCATATATGTAAGAACCAGGGACCGTAACAGTTATCATAAAAAAAATAAAAATCATCTTATAACTGTTATCATTTGCATTAAAAAAATAACTGTTATCATAAAACTCAAAAAATAATAATTAAATTTGATTTTTATTATATTCTTCAAAAATAATTATTATTATATGTCTTTTATTTTTTCGCGCAGAAATTACTCTTAAAATTTGCTTCTTATTTTAAAACTCACAAATAACTGGTATACTTGCGTTATATAATATAAAAATCAAGAGTATCGCGCAAATTCTGCGCGATATTTTTAAAATGAAAATATAAAATACAATTTTCATACAAGGTAGTTGTTTTTGTAATTCCATAGAAAATGTTTTAAAATGTTGGTGCAGGTAAAGATTTAGTTCAGTTTTTTGTTTTTGTATTTTGGATTCAAATTTTGTATTTATATTTGTATTTTGTAGGAGAACAAATATGTATGCAAAATACAAAAACAAAAAACTAGAGAAAAATTGTTTCTCTGTCTTGTTCAAATCAGAGGACAGAGAGATGTTACTGAAGTCGCGTTCTGAAATATCTTTAAAAAAGGCCCAATTCGCTTTTTTGAAATTCCTGTAGGTTTTCTTGTCAGCCTCGGTGAGGCCCTCGATTGATGGAATAGAAATTGTGATGGGTGTGCGATCTGAGCTTAAAGCTACATCAACACTCCAATTCGAGGCAGCGAGAAGCCTAGGGCTTGCGAGACTGACATCAGGAGAGCTGGAGCAGGTTGGATTCATCAATTTGGGAAGCAATTGCAGGCCTCTCTGATCAGTTGGTTGGTTGGAAAACCACAGGGAATGGTGTGCATTCAAATCAGCCAGTACTAAACGCAAGTCTCCATCTAGAAGATGTGTCAGAGCAAGTTCTAAGGTGACACCAGCTATTGCAAGAATTGTAATGGACGGAGATGGTGGTCCTAGAGATTACTCTTTTCAACACAGTGCATAGTCAAGTGGTGGGAGAAGTAGATGATGCATTGATTGGAAAAGGACTGCCAGAGGTAGACGAAAATGGAGATTTTCTGTGTAGAGGAGCTGGAGGACAGCAAGCTCCTCCAAAAGCAAGATTCCAATCAGTATGGCTATGCAACCCTAAACAATTATTAAGGTGACATCAGTTACTGCAACTGTTGCATTTCACTGATGTTTGATTTCTGCGTATGATAGAGTGGCAGACACAACAGTGCCAAGTTGAGGTGGAAGGTCTAACAGGACCAGGATTAGGTTCAATACCGGCAATTACAAGTAACATAAGAAACAAGATAGCCGCTTTCTTCTTAGTGAGAAAAACACAAATAAACGACATATATCAACAAACACATACCTGCTTGTGGAGTACCGTCGTATAATTTTCATCATTATCAGAAAAGTCTTCATCATTAGAATCATTCAAAATTTCTTCCACTTCTTCGCCGGTCAGATATTTTGGTATAAAAATCTTGTATTTTCAAATAGATTCAAAAATAACTTCTCCAATAAATCATTAGCTGCGTTTCAGCAAACATGATCCGTTCAATTTTACATGCAAACAAAAACAGTGGGGTGAAGCAGCAATTGATCTGGTTCACTTTTTGGTTCAATGTAAAATGTAGAATGATTGGCAATGCGATGCAACGGTGCAGTAAAAATATAAACAAATCTACATTAATATTTATTTTTTATTGATTTTATTTATTTATTATTTATTTTATGTATTTTTTTATTTAAAATGTCATTATTATTTATTTCTTTGCTTAAAATAATGTTTTCATTATTACTATAATTCAAATTATTATTTTAATTATTCACGTTTTATTATTATTAAAAAAGTGTTGTTTGATCATTTATTAAAATCAAATCATTTAAATTGAATATATAAAAATTGAGTTGAATTCTTTTATTTAATTAAAACAGAACAACACATAATTTACTTGTAGAATATGCTTTATTCTTAACAATTCTTTGCAACTCATTTGTAAATGAATCAATATGATTAGCATTGAATGACTTCGTTATGAACTACATCATTCTGTGTACAGCATATATTATGCTATATGCATGAGTACATAATTAAATTTGTTATTGAAGGTGTTCTTTGTTGTTTCATAAAATAAAACAGTCGACGAAACCTTGTTAGCATACGATCAAAAGTGGCTTCTATGACAATCCTTGCCTACGAATGCATTACATCCAGAACCGCAGATATGCACAAAAGAACCGCTGGGAAATTTGTTTAGAAATGATGCTGTACTATACACTTGTTATCTACCAAAAACTCGGCTGTCATGTAAGCTACCAGGCTCTCCAAATTACACGTCTATAAAAAGACTATATTCATCGCAACGTGCTTTACCAGTGGTATGCTCTGTCTGAAACTGGTGGTACTTCGGCCAATATCTCGACCAATGTAACGTTGTTGCATATGATATTGAAAGCATCTCGATTCATGCGGATGTTGCCCTTGAAAAAATTTGCACTGTTACTAGAAACATTCCCAAAACTGGCCGTATCTTTCCTGTAAAAATTTTTGATAGTTATATGAACATATTCATAAAAAATGTTTCATAAAATCTTACATGCAACCATTGACTTCTTGGCCTTCCATATTTATTTGCCGCTATTAGTTGTAATATTTTTATAATTATTTTACGGTGGTTTATTCGTATACATTTAAATTTATTATCATGTATTTTATTTTGTTGTGCAGATTCACTGCAGAGCAATGCAATAATATTTTGATCCATAATTTCTACCAATATATATATAGCGCTGATTTTGTACTTTAATGAAAATGAAAGTACATAAGCTATATTTAAATTCGAAAATTATTTATTAAATTCCGTTTATTTTAATTCAGCCGGAAAGTTGAAACTTATCTGAAGAAAATGTTTCTCTATCTAATTTTACAAATTTTGTGTTGTCAATATAATTTAAATTGTAACTCAGTTTACTGTGATTAAATATCTACAGCCACACTTATATAGTAAGCAAAACTCACTGATTTTTCAAACAAAATTTTCACTAGAGTCAAAATGTAAACAAATAAAGATAACCAAAACAACAGTCAAAATGAAAACCCCATACGATAATGTAAACGCATAATCAACTTAAGCAAAGTTCGTTGACTTAAGTTCGTAATGTAAACATGCTATCACTATTTTGTGTACTTGCTATTATAATCAAATATTTCTATTTAATGTATGCTATTCAGGATTTGAATTTACTACTCCTTAGCAGCAATAGTAACGAAAAAAATGCTATGCTCCTGCTTCTACTCTGAATTTGACGGAGCACTTATGAGAGCAGAAGCACAAAACAAAATTTGCGTTGCTCTGCTATACTATGCTGTGTGATTTGTTCAAGCACAAAGCAAGAGCAAGAGCAAAAAATTAAAATATATGCTACTGATATTCGTAGCAGTAGTCAAATTTTAAAATTGTTGCTCTTGCTGTTGCTGTGCTACAAAACAGAATAGTAGCTGAGCAGAGCAAAGCAAATTGTGTTTTGTGTGCATGCTACGGCTACTGATCCCGTAGCAATTACTACTGCTCCGGAGCAACTACCGGTAGTACTCCGCAGCATATGCTTCATACTTTTTGTAAATGAAATAAATAAAAAAGAAATGTAATAATTGAATTTAAATTATTGGAACTGCGATTTATTGAAAAAAAAAATAGTGGTGATCATATCTTTTTATTCTTATTCAATATTCATATAATTATTTTATAATTAGTTTATTTGTCAGGGAAAAATAAATCTTATGTAATTAAATAAAATTAATTAAAAAACTAAATAAAATTACATTGAGTTTAGCAATCTTTTGAACAAAATCCTTCTCTATACTTCTTGCTTACAATATGCATAAATTAATTTGATTTGTGTTTATTCATCTTCATTTTCTTCGAATAAAGGCAAATTTTCTATTGACTGATCTAAAAAGGAGGGATTAAGTTTTACTAGCAGTATATTTTCTAACGTGTCATGATTAAGACGATTACGATTATCTACCAAAATCAATTTTAATGATGAAAATGCACGTTCTATGGTGACCTTAAAGCATACTTTACTAAGTGCATAAAGTTCTGGATCGCTGCACTGTCTTTCTTTCCAAAAATTTAATACATTTAAGTTAGCCTTCATGAAAAGAAGATTTAATCTCTCAATTTTTGAATAAACATCAATCGATTCATCAGTGGGTACTAAATTAGCAGCTATATATTGATTGAGAAGGTCGTCGTCATCTTCTTCCAGCACCTGTACACTTTCCGTTGCCGTTAAGTGGGATGGATTAGATGAATGAAGAAGTTTAGGGTCATGTGATTTAATTTTTTCCCATAATTTTTTTAAATAAGCTACAGCTTCAACCCTCTGAGAATCATTTAGCATTTGATGAAATCTTGGGTCTAAAAACAAGCAAGCATCCAAGCTTGCATTTGATAATAGTTTATGAGTCCTTGTTTCTATGCTTTCCATTAGACTTTGACCAATTTGAAAAATAATTGCATTTTTATTTTCTGAATGTGATGCTAAAATTTTACTAGTAGATAATTTACATTTCAACCACAAAGCATAAAAATTTCCGTAATGTAATTGTTCTTCTTGAAACTTCACTATAGTTTTTTGTAATGGATTAAGAACGGTTGAGTAGCTAGCAATAAAATCCCAAAAACACTCATTGGCGTCGAAATTTTCATCTTTCGTTTACTTTTTTTTCTGATGCAATATGACTTAATATGTCTTTTGCTTTATTAAGCCGTTCAACCATATGGTATGTTGATCCCCATCGAGTAGGACAGTCCAATTGGGGTAATGGTAATTTTTTGAATTCAAATATTTCTCTATACCCGTTTGATGGTTTTCTAACGTATTTAGTCATATTGCGACACTGAAGCAAATATTTTCTAATATCTGCATTTTTTGTTATATCAAGTGCGCAAACTTGTGCTGTGTGAGCTGCACACCTGCATATTTGTATTTCACCTAAACGTACATCTATCGATTTTTGAAAACTATCAATATTTCTTATATACATATTGTTGTTATCTACTTCAGACATTTCAATATCGTCTTCGTTTGTACAATATTGGGATAACAACTTCGTTGTTTTTATCATATTGGCCCCATTATCAGATGTAATTGACACAATTTGTCCAATTTGGATATCATACTTTGCTAACGTTGATAAGATTTCTTTAGCAAGATTATTAGATGCACTTGCATTCGGTCCTTTAAGTTCAACCATTCCAAGTATACGTGATCTTATTTAATTTTTGCTAATAAACTGTGCACTGATTCCAAATATGTTTCTGGAAAGTCGAGTACCACTATCTATTTTTAAAGATAATAGGCAATGTTTCACCTCATGTTTAATTTCTATTCTAATGTTTTCCGCTACGAGTTTTAATACATTTTTACATTTGTTACCATTTAGATAAAAATTTTTTTGATTTTTGACTGTAAGGCCTTGGCATATGGGATCGATTATATTTCTCATATTCACGGAATTTAAAACATTAAATGGAATGCTATCTTCTGTTACAAGTCCAATATACGATCGAAACAATTGTTTTTTGTTGGCTAGTTGGAGGCAAATGAGATTGAGTTAATTGCTGAGGGGCAGAAGACTGATGCAGAGTTGCTCGCTCAGCTGCAGAGCCAGTCTGATGATGGTGTTGGTTTGAAGAAGTTGAGGCTGCCGGATTCGAGTATTGAACTGTACTGTGATGTGTCAGGCAGTCGTGTTCGTCCTTTTGTTCCTGCAAGCTGTCGGCAGTTGGTTCTTATAAAACTCCATGCTTTGGCTCTTCCTGGTGTTCGCGCAACGCGAAAGTTGGTGCAGGCTAGGTATGTTTGGCCTGGTTTGGTTAAGGATGTGGCTATATTTGTGCGTAGTTGCATCGCGTGCCAGAAGTCCAAGATTCAGCGGCAAACTAAGACACCAATTGGTTCGTTTGCTGATATTGATAGTCGGTTCCAGCATGATCATGTTGACATTGTGGGCCCATTGCCTTTGTCTCAGGGGAATCGTTATTGTTTGACTTGCGTCGATCGTTTTTCTCGGTGGCCTGTTGCTGTGCCTCTGGCTGGCATCACGGGAGAGGAAGTTGCAGCGGCTTTTATCGATGGTTGGGTGGCAAGTTTTGGTTCTCCGCAGGCTATTACCACTGATTTGGGTCGGTAATTTGAGTCTGCTGTATTTTGGGAACTGACAAGGTTGCTTGGAGTGAAGCATTTTTATACCACAGCTTATCACCCTCAAGCAAACGGTATGGTCGAACGTTTCCATAGGACATTGAAGGCGGCCATTCGATGTCATTCCTCAAGCAATTGGACGCAGTCTCTTCCGCTTGTGTTGTTAGGATTGTGAACGACACCGAAATTAGACCTAAATGCTAGTCCTACAGAGATGTTGTTTGGAAATCCTCTTTGTGTTCCGGGGCAGATGCTTTCTGAATTCAAGCAGAGATCGCCCGAGACTGATTTTGTTTCGGCGTTGCGAAGGGCTTTAGCTAAGGTTAAATCCGTTGAGTCAACGAGGCACTGTCACCCATCTGTGTATGTTCCGCGTGACATTAGCAATTGTAAGCTAATCTTCGAGTGGATCGTGCGCGAGCTCCACTTGAGCAGCCTTACGAAGGTCCATTTGAGGTGCTGAGACGTAGTGAGAAGCGGTCGGTTGTTGTTTGTCGTGGAAGAGAGGTGACAGTTTCGAATGACAGGTTGAAGGCGGCGTACTTATTATTATTATCTTCAACGTTCTCCACTCTCAAACACTTTGACACGGCGCGGTTTGCCAACGGAGCAAACGGTCAGTCTGCATGTCAAAGTTACTCTCTTAAGCTGACGACTTTGTTATGGTGTCGCGTTGTTGCTGGTACTCCATCGCTAGGAGGGAGTACTGTGGCGACCCAGTTGGCTGTGCATTTATTGAGATTGAAAACCAAAATTCAATTTCAAATATTTTTAAGTTTTTAATAGGGATTGAGGAAAACGTTTCGAATTTGACTCGTGAAAAAAGTTGAATAAAGTTTCATTAATATTGTCAATTAGTGGTATTTCTATTAATTAGCAAAGAGTTACAATCATTGCTAAATTGGTGACCCCGACGTGATACCAGCACCAATCTGGATGACTTGCTGGTCGGGAACGAGTTCGCCTACGCCTTCTTGATAACGATCGACTTTGCACCGACTCACCACGGCGTACATCCAAACGACTTAGACGCTGTTCGATTTGCTCAAGCCTTCTTATAATCACAGCATTCTCAGAATAGGCTGAACAATTAGAGGCTGATGCTACTGCAATCTGTTGAAAATCACCCGCCTCGCAAATACGTTCTGCCAATTTCGCCAGTTCTGCCAGTGCCACGTTCGATGCCTGCAGAATAGCGCGCACTTGTGGTGGCAAACGCTCCAGCCAAAGAGACTTAAGGAACTCATCACTCACCTTGTCTTTAGCTAATGCTGTCAACTCCGTTAGCAACTGTGTTGGCCGTCTATCACCAAGTTCAACCTCCGACAACAACCGTTGAATCTTTCGCTGCTCGCTCTCACTGTAGCGTTCTATAATGTGAGCCTTCAAATTGGCGTACTTTCCAGTTTCAGGAGGATGAAGCACTGCATCACTCACATCGGCCACGACACTTGACTCAATCGCTGTCAATACCGTGTTGAACTGTGTGACGTCACTCGAGATGGCAGCTACTGCGAATTGCGCCTCGATTTGAGCAAACCAAATCTCCGGTCGCTCGTGCCAAAACGGCGGCACCTTCACTGCCACACGGTTTACGCCACTTCCACTATTTGAAGCCATCACTACGCCTTCGTCTGCAACTGACATCACGGTTCAGTAATTTGATATTTCACTTGAGAGTTAATATTTTTAAAATTTAAACTTTTTCGCGATCATTGAAAATTTTGAAATTGAATTTTGGTTTTCAATCTCAATAAATGCACAGCCAACTGGGTCGCCACACTTCCAAAACTGCTAAAATTGCAGCGAATTTTAGCGAAATATGCACTCCATGTGCTACGAATATTGCATTATGATGTATTTCAAGTTTAGAATCGACATAAATTGTTGCTAATAACCCAGAGGCCTCGTCTCCTTGTGGCAATCCTTCAATCCTTGTTGATACCATTCCCCATTAAATAAGAAATAATTTGCCTGATCTAGAATAAAATGTGGTAATTGTGCAAGTACCTTAAAGTCTACCGGAGAACTCTCTTTAAACCAATGCTGTTCCATTAAATTATTTGAAGTCCTCCATAATGGTTATATTTGAGTACTTGGATACATATCCTTGATGTTCATTGTTACAAAGATATACCCAGGTATTAGTTTTATAGTCTGCAAATGATCTGTTAAATTATTTATATTCATTATATTATTCTGGGACAATCGTTGGCGTAGGGTAATTTGTAATATATGTTGACATAACTTGTATATGGGATTAATAAACCAATGTATTGGACTGCATATTGGCCGGATGGGATATCCTGGCTTATGTATCTTTATCGTATCATATAAATATGGCAATGCGGGTGTCTTTTAAAGCATATCTTTTAGTTCAGTATATATTTTATAAGGGAATAAATTAAGTCCTTTTTGGTTTTGTCGACACAACGGATGGACCAGGCGCCTATATATAGCTGTTCGACGTATTGATAAACTTCTATCTCCGATACACTTTATACATGAGCCTGATTCAATATAGTCTTGGATCCAGTTGTCAATTTTCTGTATATAATTTTTTCTTGACATCAACACTGTTATGTTTCCTTTATAATCTTACACAATAATCAGCTCTTGATGACCCTTTAGAAACAATTTGGTGCGTTTATATAAGTGTTTTAACATTTTGTGATGTGGTGTCTGCTCCTGATGTCTTTCCATTACATCTATAAACCTAAAAAAAAGGTTCTTCACCTCCTTGTGATGTTAAATCCCTAGATCAACGTAATTATTTATATAGGTATAAGTCATGATATGTATTTTTTGCTTTATAGCAGTTTCAGAAAGTAGGTGGAGTCAATGGACAATAAAAAGGTCTAAAACTTTATAATACCTGTACTTCATTTGGTACTTAAGTTTGGGAATTCCCCAGTTATTGATTTTGTTTACTGTTGTTTATTTTTCCAAGTATTTATTCATCAAGTTTTTGCGGCTTGGATTAAATAATGTTGTTCTTAATACTGTTGAAGTAAGATTTAATAGATCCATTACTAACTCTAGAATTAGAATAGTGAATACTGTTAGAACTATTGGTACTTAAGTTTGGGAATTCCCCAGTTATTGATTTTGTTTACTCTTGCTTATTTTTCCAAGTATTTATTCATCAAGTTTTTGCGGCTTGGATTAAATAATGTTGTTCTTAATACTGTTGAAGTAAGATTTAATAATGGATCTCATTACTAACTCTAGAATTTGATTCATCTATGCGAATATCTAGAGTTTTAGAAAACATAGGTAAAAAAGAATGTATTTCTTTTAAATGAGTTCTTCCATTTTTGGACAATATGGAAAATTTTCCGCATCAGAATCCGGATTAATGAGTACTCTTCTATAGAGAAGATGTGTACTCATTACAACACTTTTGGACCTCCTTTCTGAAAAGACTGTTTTTTTATTGGCAGTTTCACCAGAATGAAATTCATTCAAATTTTAGGATTTCCCAAATTCAGATAATGCAGATAATCAATTTCTACAATCGTTTAGATGGCATAAATTGAATAAAACTCCCATTCCTTCTCTTAAAAATTTTGTAGGTGAATAGCGTCGATGTACTTGCAAATAGCAAATAATTTTACTGTAATGACTTACGCAAAACTGTATACAAACAAATAGAATTTTATGCGAGACAACCTTTGTTAAAAATGAGTAAGCAGAGTTTAAATATTCTAAAATGGAATGCATTCCATTGAATACTTCTAGAAGCGTTAAAAGTGCAGTGAAACTTACACCAGTTACAATTTTTCGGAAAATATGTAATTTTAAATTATTACAGCCAAAAAAGCGGATATGTCATGGGCGGAATGATTTGTGAGAATTGCATCGGCAATTGAGAAAATAATTTTTTTTGCGATATATAGCCGATATGTATATATTCTATTTGTTTCAAATGGTAATTTCTGAATAATACTACCAGTTGCATTAACCGAATAGTATTATTTATTTTGCCTAATAGAAAAATTAATTTGTGGCAAAATACATTGTGACCGAAAAGTTTTCGGAGGTTCTCATTTAAAATTCGCGCGCTGTATATTTTTCGATATTTTAAGTTTATGTAGTTTGGCAGCACTGTCCTTAATTACTATGCCAAAAATGAGCGCGATCTGTCAGACAGTTCGTTTACGGCAGCTGTTGAAACAAGTTCACCTCAGTAGTGCGTTGAGAAAAAAACAATGGAA